AGAGTTGTAAAGGTTCTTTTCAAGAACGTTTTTGGCTGTAAAGAGTTCATGATTTGCTATATTGTCCTTTGGAGGCTAATTAAGTTTTTGGTGACCCATCATTGGTTCTTCAGCTCCTTAAAGGCTATTTTAAAGAACGATATCGTATAACAAGCAATAAAGCCATTTGGATTCCAATGAGAACCTTTATTTCTGGTTTTAAGTTGCAATTAGAGCCAAAAACCTAGAAAACCATCAATGCATCTGATGTTTTAGCCAACATAAGAATCTCTTAAGAACCGGATAAACACTATGACTGACCACAGAGACTTCGATGCAATGGCAAAGGCATTTATTATGATTTACCTCCGTTTATGACAGTTTACGTGCGTGTCTTTGAAAGTGTTTAGCTTAACAATAAATAGTTTAATAGTCTCGCTTTATAAAGGGAGGCCGACCTCATTCCAGATGCAATACACGGCCAAATTGACTCGAATCTCTCATTCTCTCTTCAAAACAAAGCCGAGGAGATGTTTTGGTTACCAGCGCTGAATGTGATCTCGTTTTAGTTGCAGTTCTTGAAGGTTTGAAGCTGATTTGTACACATTCTCAGTAAACGTCTGGAGGTCTCCTCACACTGCTCTTGTTTATTGTCTCAATCAGGTTGCTCCTTCGGTGGCCGCTTTTATTCGCTGGAAGACACGTGGCATCCAGATCTCGGAGAGCCGTTCGGTGTGATGCACTGCGTTATGTGTCACTGCGAGCCGGTAAGACCTCGAACACACACTGCATTTCATAACTGAGAGTGTGGTGTTCTAGACAAAAAAAATAGTTTTTCTTCAAATGTGAATGTGTTTTGTTTTTATTTAAACATGCAAAATATATGTTTAAATACTTTAAAAATTCTAATGATATTTTATCATTAAAAAAATCTATTTAAAATATATATATTGGTGTTTTATATCCTTTGAAACATTTTAAATATTATTTTTTTAAATAATTTTTTAATATGATTTTATATCAATTTAATATTTTAACATATCTTTTATATATTTTTGTCACATGGGATGCAACATTAATTTTAAATAGTATATTGTTTTAAATAGTTATTTTTACTATTATTTTTTAAATATTACTTTTATTTTATACGAATTTTATATTTTAATATTTTTTGTATATTTTGAAATATATTTGTCATATGAGATGCAACATTCATTTTAAATTGTATATTATTTTAAAATATAATTTTTAAACTGTTTATCATTTTATACAAATTTGATAATTTTATATTTTTATATATTTTGGTATATTTTGAATAAAAAAAGAATTGTGCCACATGGGATGCAACATTAAAATTGTGTTATTTTAAATAATTATAAAAAAAAAAAAAAGTAAATATGATTTTTAAACTTTATATATAAATGTAATATTTTAATATATTTTTAATGTTGTTTTTTTTGCCATATAGAATGCAACATTGACACTTGTAGAACTAAACCGAATCAACACTGAATTGAACTGAGCTGAATAATGACTCTGTTGTCTTCAGCTGCTTAAAGCTGAATCAAATTCATTTCATAATCGTTGCATTTAACATTTTCCTGCTTATTATTACGTTTCTCTCTCTCTCTCCGCGCAGCAGAGGAGCCGGCGAGGGAAGGTGTTTGGGAAGGTGAGCTGCAGGAATATGAAACAGGACTGTCCCGATCCGACCTGTGACGATCCGGTCTTGCTTCCAGGACACTGCTGCAAAACATGTCCAAAAGGTAACACACATGAAGTGTGTTTCTGCAAATAGTGAACAAATGGAAACACAGTCCAGCGTTTTTGGAATGCCGTCACACTGTTAGACGGGAAAAAGTGTGTGTGAGGGAATGACGGAAGGTTTTGGCCATTGGTGATAAATGGCAGCGAGTGTGGATTGATGGTCTGCTTCGGTATAATTGCACTCATGTTTATGGATGCCGGTCCGTGTAGAACATTGGCTCTATTGTGCGTTCTACGATCTTTCTGACATCATGCATCTTGGTTTCCGTGGTTACAGGCGACTCGGGGAGAAAGGAGGCGGAGTCTCTGTTTGAGTTCTTCCAGGAGAAAGACGACGACCTGCACAAGTCCTACAACGACAGATCCTACATCAGCTCTGAAGAGAACAGCAACCGAGACAGCGCCACCGGTGAGACTCCCTCACAATGCATTCTTCAACTTGAAGTCATATTTTCAAACTGAAGGCATACTGAATCTGATCAGCAGCTTCTCATTAATGAGTGAAAGTGAAACAAAGTTACCATTTACCCTTTTTAATTAATGAATAAATGGAGAAATCTCAAATTACTCATGAACCACATTGAGGGTCTTAAAGCATATGCAAAGTTTCAATCGCTTGCTAAAAACTATGCATTGTTTACACATTTCTATGCATTTCTTCCGAATACGTTATGAGGGTTAAATGATTGTCCGAGTATGATTAACCTGAGTTATTGTTGAACAGATTTTGTGGCTGTACTCACGGGTGCGAGGGACTCCAGCGGCATCGCTCGAGCCAGATTCACTCTCACTCGGATGAGCCTGACCTTCTCCATCACGTTCCAGAGGTAACACTCACACCAGAGCAGATGTGAGGGCCGTCACAATCCTCTGCCGCTCACTTAACACTTGTGCTTGTCTCTTAGGATGAACCGGCCGAGCCTCATCACCTTCCTGGACTCCGATGGAAACACTGCGTTTGAGTTCAGAGTCCCGCCGGCCGATACAGATATGGTGAGTTATTATCAGTAATTAAAACCAGAAGAAAAAAAATTGTTTTGTTACTAAATGTTAACTGAAAATAAATAAAAAACAAAATAACTTAATATAAATATAATATAAAGTTAAATAAAAAATAAATAAATAAATAAAAATAGAAATTAAAGTTAATAAAAATAAAATAAAAATTAATAAAAATTATTAACATTAAAAAAACTACTAAGGAATAACAAAAACTAAATTTAGCTAAAATTAAAATTATAATGGAAAATATTAAAATGTGTTTAATGTTTAGATCTGTGGAGTTTGGAAGAATAAAATAAAATACAAAAAACCTTAATATAAAGTTAAATATAAATAAAATAAAAAATAATAAAATTAAGAAAAAAAACCCAAATCGAAATTAAAGTTAATAAAAATAAAACAAACATTAATAAAAATTATTAACGTAAAAAAAACACTAATAAACAACAAAAACAAAATTGAACTAAATTAAAATGAAAATGGAAAATATTTTAAAATGTGTTTAATGTTTAGATCTGTGGAGTTTGGAAGAATAAAATAAAATGCAAAAAAAAAACTTTATATAAATATAATATAAAGTTTAATATAAATAAAATAATAAAATAATAAAATTAAGCAAAAAAAAAAATTTAATTAAAGTTAATAAAAATAAAATAAACATTAATACAAATTATTAACATATTAAAAAACTACTAAGGAATAACAAAAACAAAATTTAGCTAAAATTAAAATTATAATGGAAAATATTAAAATGTGTTTAATGTTTAGATCTGTGGAGTTTGGAAGAATAAAATAAAATACAAAAAACCTTAATATAAAGTTAAATATAAATAAAATAAAAAATAATAAAATTAAGAAAAAAAACCCAAATCGAAATTAAAGTTAATAAAAATAAAACAAACATTAATAAAAATTATTAACGTAAAAAAAACACTAATAAACAACAAAAACAAAATTGAACTAAATTAAAATGAAAATGGAAAATATTTTAAAATGTGTTTAATGTTTAGATCTTTAGATCTGTGAAGAATAAAATAAAATGCAAAAAAAAAACTTTATATAAATATAATATAAAGTTTAATATAAATAAAATAATAAAATAATAAAATTAAGCAAAAAAAAAAATTTAATTAAAGTTAATAAAAATAAAATAAACATTAATACAAATTATTAACATATTAAAAAACTACTAAGGAATAACAAAAACAAAATTTAGCTAAAATTAAAATTATAATGGAAAATATTAAAATGTGTTTAATGTTTAGATCTGTGGAGTTTGGAAGAATAAAATAAAATACAAAAAAACCTTAATATAAATATAATATAAAGTTAAATAAAAAAAAATAAAAATTAAGAAAAATAATAATAAAAATAAAAATAGTAATTAAAGTTAATAAAAATAAAATAAACATTAATAAAAATTATTAACATTAAAAAACTACTAAGGAATAACAAAAACTAAAATTAAACTAAAATTAAAATGAAAATGGAGAATATTTTAAAAAGTGTTTAGATCTGTGGAGTCTGGAAGAAATAAAGAATAAAATAATGAAAAAAAATAGTACTATTAAATTTAATAAAAATTAAATAAAATAAAATAACATTAATAAAAGTGATTAACATGTTAAAAAAACTACTAAGAAATAACAAAAACAAAATTGAACTAAAAATTAAAATGGAAAATATAATTATTAAAATGTGTTTAATATTTAGATCTGTGGAGTTATGGAAGAATAAAATAAAATACAAAAAAAACTTAATATAAATATAATATAAAGTTTAATATAAATAAAATAAAAAATAATACAATTAAGAAAAAAAAAAAAAAATAGTAATTAAAGTTCATTAAAATAAAATAAAACAAACATTAATACAAATGATTAACGTAAAAAACGTCTAAGAAACAACAAAAACAAAAAATGTAACTAAAATGAAAATGTAAAATATTAAAAGTGTTTAATGTTTAGATATGTGGAGTCTGGAAGAACCTGCCGAAGTCTCACCTGCGGCAGCTAGAGGCGGAGCAGCTGCGTGTTTCCATGACAACCGCTGACAGCAAGGAGGAGGAGCTACAGGGCAAAGTCATCAAACACCGAGCGCTGTTCGCAGGTGCGTGTCGAACCTTACACTCGGTCCCTTTCAAAGCTTGACGTGTGTTTAGACGTTTAGCCTCATTTGCTGCGGCTTGTCTGACAGAAACCTTCAGTGCGATCCTGACGTCTGACGAGGTGCATTCTGGGATGGGAGGAATCGCCATGTTGACGCTCAGTGACACGGAGAACAATCTGCATTTCATCCTGATCCTGCAGGGACTCGTTCCTCATGGGAGCTGTGAGGACAAAGAAATAATACAAATTATATACATATATATGAAGAGTTCAGATGCAAAAGTATGGAAGCCCGTTTCTGCCACTGAATAAAAAAATAAAAAAAGGTTATTGCGACTTTTTATCTCACAATTCTGTGAAAAACATCTAGCCTGACTCAGATGGCACCTAGAGGCTTTTGCATCTGAACTCTACATATATATATATATATATATATATATATATATTATAAATAATAACAAAATAAAAAAATTAAAATGTAAAAAATTTTTTTTTTTAATTAAATAAATCCTTTACAAATAAAAAACATAATTTAATAACAATATGTATTTTTTTCAATTCTGTTTCAGTCTCTGCAAAGGTGCCGGTCCGAGTGAAACTGCTGTACCGTCAGCATCTGCTGAGAGAAATACGAGCAAACATCTCTGCAGACGTGAGTTCAAACTCGTTTACTGATCGAAATGATTATTAATGAAACAGAATAACGAGAGGAGCGCGTGTGTCTGTAGGACTCTGACTTGGCTGAAGTCCTGGCCGATCTGAACAGTCGTGAACTCTTCTGGTTGTCCCGCGGACAGCTGCAGATCTCGGTGGAAACAGAAGGCCAAAACCCTCGTCAGATCTCCGGAAACATTTCTGGCAAGAGATCATGTGACAGTAAGTGCAGCCAGTCGTCAACAATCTCCTCGTTAACACATAACCCAGCGTGAAGAGACATGAACGGCTTTGGACAGTTTTCTTTCCTGTGCTGACAAATGTATTAATATTTTATTTTATATATTATATTTTATTACATTTTATTAATTTAAAGATACATATAATATTTTGTGGTAATATACATTTTATACATTTTTTAAACAAATGTATTAATATTTATTAAAAGTTATATTAAAATGTATTAATATTGATTTATTTGTTAAAATACTATATATACTGTTCAATAAGACAAAATAATGAGTAATTAAAAAAATACAGGTATAAATCTAACCATTATATTAATATATTTTTTATTTTTATCTGATTTAAATTTTAAATATATATATAATTGAAATCAGATACAAAAAAAAAAAAATTTTGTAAAAAATTTTGTTGTAAATATTAAAGATTTAATTTAAAATTGTAACAACTAGGTTTCTATAGGCTAGTTTAATCATCTTTTAGTAGCACACTATGGTACAGTGAGCTCAAAGCTGAACTAAATGACAGCAGGCTTCAGTTGATCTCACATTAGATCAGTAACTACATCCGTCTGTCTGCTGTGGCTGTTTTTATCCCGTGATTTACACCGTGTTATATTTCATCTTTGTGTCATGCATAAATCATCTCGGGTATTTTTGGTGCCAGAATGAGATTTCCCGTTCATAATTGCAATGGTTACTCAAACACACACGCACGCACACACACACACACACACAAACACACACTCTTACACAAACACACACGCACGCACACACACACACACACACAAACACACACTCTTACACAAACACACACGCACGCACACACACACACAAACACACACTCTTGCACAAACACAAACACACACACACACACACACACACAAACACGCTCACACAAACACACACACATTCACTCACACACACACGCGCGCGCACACACACTCTCACACACACACAAACACACACAGGTTTGTTTTTGTGAAAAGTGGGGACTCTCCATAGGCGTAATGGTTTTTCTACTGTACAGACCGTATATTCTATTGCCCTACACCAACCCTACCCCTAAACCTACCCCTCACAGGAGACTTTCTGCTATTTCAGATTTTCAATACACTCCATTCTGTGTGATTTATAAGCGTTTTGAAAAGTGGGGACATGGGGTAATGTCCTGAAAAGTCACCTTC